CCCGCGGAGAGGAATAAATCACAGAATGGGGGCTATGCTTTGGGAGCCGGGGAACAAGATGGCTTTTCATGCCATAATCCTTTGTAATAAAGCACCAGGGGGAAGAAAGCCAATAAACAATGTCTCCTGTGTGAACCAGCTGCTTCCTAAAATAAAGCGCTCCTCTCTGCCATCAGCTGCCCCGGCTCAGGCACAAGTGTGGACATTGCCACACGACACCAGAGCTGCATCCCCCACAGCAGCATGTGCTCCTGCAGCTCCCTGAAGGGCCCCACGAGCCCACGGGAATTTGCAGAATGCAGCTGGGGGTGGGGGGGGACACAGAAATGAGCAATTAATTCTGGCCACTCTCAGGAGCAGGCTGCGAGCCACCAGAGACATCAGTGTAGCCCCAGGCACCAGCAACATGCATGCTGCTTGGCAAAGGCACGTGGCAAAGCTGCTCCCATCTGCACCCTGTGCCAGCAACAACGTGAGCAAGTGCGAGGAGCAGTGTTTTGTGGGGTGGCTCAGTGTATAACTCCCCAGCTTTATTTAGATCTGGGTGCTGGCAGGAGCCTGGTTCTTGCTGGGGCTCTGGAGGAGAGGGCAGGAAGCTCTGAGTGCTCCTGGTTCCTCAAAGGCTGAGCCCTTGCTGTCAGGGGATGAGTAAGCTCCTGCTGGTAAACCTGACCTCCCGGGCATTATGTTGAGAGCAGCAGTAACTCCTCTGCTGCTGGGGAAGGTGTTGGGGTGCGCTGAGTGCGGCTCTGCCGGTCACCCCGCAGTCTGCAGGCTTGTTTACCAGTGTGGGTGCCTGGAGGCGCCTGGCTCGCTGTGCTGGTGCCTTTGCACCCGCTGCTCAGGGACCGTGGCTTTCCTGCCCCATGGCCATGGGGGCTCTGCGGCTCCCCACCACAGGATGGGGACAGCTTGTCTGCTAATCCTTCCCTACCCACCTCCCCCCCCCCCCCCCGCCCCCCCCCCCCCCCCCCCCCCCCCCCCCCGCCACTCAGTGTCCCCAGGGTATGGTCTGACCTACAGTGCCACACAACACACACTCTCCCACCCCGTGGTGGCCTCCCATCAGCTCCATTCCCAAGGGACCATGGTTGCCAGCTCACACACCACTTTCATTTCCCCATTACTATTCGGTCTTTTCTGCTTTCCCCTTTTACAGCCAGACATATAACTATCCCAGTTCACGCATGCACACATGTATTCTCCCCAACAACTCCCGGCAGAGGTCTGACCTGGCAGCTTGTGCCCGCCGTGTCCTCGCCTCTCCTCTCCACCACTGCCACCACAGGGTTTGAGCTCTGCTCTTGACAGTGTGTCCACCCAGGAAGGGGAGACCTGCCAGGGAAAGGCTGACCCGAGTGGTAGTGACGCATTTTCCCCGGGAATGGGAGTGGGGAGTGGTGGGTCAGGGAGGATCCGCACACAGATGCAGATGCCCAGACGCGCAGCCTGGCTTCGCCTTCTGTTCGCTCTGGTGATAAACCTGCACCTTCCAAGGGGGTGTTTGCTTGAACCAACTGTGGGGTAAGCTGGGGCTGGTGATTTCTTGCCATCCAAACCTGGGAGCTGCCCCAGGCCCTGGTCACTGCCACCTCTTAGCTCTCACCACTTTCTGCAGCAGATCCGGGGGCTGCCAGATGGAGAGCGGCCAAGGGAAAACCCCGGCTGCTGGTGTGCAACAGCCTCCCTTGCACTGGGTGATCTGCGCTGCAAACCAGCCTGGTGCTGCGGGAAGTGTGGAGGGGGCCACAGCCTGACAGGGTGGGTGCACAGCCAGGAGGAGGGGGACACTGGGATGCCCGGTGCGGGGCCATGCACAAGCTGTCTCAGGCACCTCCTGCAAAGAGATGGGATTATGATCCTCCGTACAAGTGTGTATGGGGACAAATCTTCTCTGGGCTGAGTCAGAGGGGATGGGGCAGTGGCGTGGGCAGACGCCCATCCCAGCTGCAAGCCCTGATCTGAATTCACCCTGTGCTGCTGATCACCGGGTATTTGCCCAAATTCCTTCTGCCCGTGACTCAGCCTCCTCCTCCCTCCTGCAGTGCTGGCCACAGCTCACCGCTGGGTCCAGCAGTGGAAGGAAACTGGCTCAGGAGCAGCAGGGTGGCCCTGGCTGGGGAGAGGTATGGATATAAGAGGAGGTGGTGTGTATAACTTACCTGACGCCTGACGAGGGAAGGCAACGTTGAGCCCTGCCAGGAAGACCCAGCTCCCAGGATGGCATCTTCCACGCGTGGGTGGCTGCTGGGGCAGCCCATGCTGCTGAAGCCGTCCCTGTTTCTAGGGGAGGTCAGCCTGGCAGGCATCCTGGCCTCCCACACCACTGGCATGGAAAAGGGAAGGTTCAGGACAAGGAGAGGAGGGAACATGTTCATATTAAGGGCTTTTCTGTAAGGGTTCCCCCCTTACTGGATAACCCTCTGCTGGCAACAGGGACATTTTGAGCACTCGGTTGCAAAATGTCTTTCTCTTTATCCTCAGCCCTGAGGATACAGGGTTTGGCCAATGTGTCCAGTACTTCCCTGTGCACCATTCTGGCAGGGATGTGAGTGGAAGAAGTTCCTGGGCTGCCCTTATTTTGGGTGGACACAGCTGCATCGGCCATATGACCCACTGAGATGGGTTTTCTGGGGCTGGGGAGCTGCGCCCGGCTCCAACTGATGTCCCCGGAGTGGGGCTGGGGCTGCCAGCCCCTGCAGTACCTTCCTTGGGGCACAGATCCAGCTGTGCCAGCACTTAACCCCCTATCTAAACCTGCATCACTGCGTCCCCAGGGTGGCCACCTTGAAAAAGCAACCCAAACCCAGGTGCATCGACACCCCTGGCCTCACCCTGCAGCTCCCTGGGATGCAGCAAGGTGGTCCCATGGGCTGGTTCCACAGGCTGCGAGAGAACGCTGGAGCCCTGCTGGCTCCTGGCACCAGCAACCCTGCCCTTTGGGGCAGCAGCTGGGGACCCCCAGCCTTCACCCCAGCTGGTGAATGAGTTGGCCCTGTAGCATGGGGGTGTTGGCGGGCACATGGGGTGCCAGGCACCCCTGGGCAAAGCCTGTGCTGCCTGCGTGTGCAACACAGGGCGAGGGGGAGGATTTTGTGAGCATGGTGGTGCTGGGGACGGGACAGTCCTACCGTGACCTTGCAGAGGTCTGAGTGACTCACGGAGAGATAAGTCGACAAGTGGTTTTCCATGTGGGCCACTGCAGCATAACTAAGAGTGTGCAGGAGGGAGAGGCACTGGGACAGTGTCGGGAGCAGCCAGGGTGCTGCGGGCAGCCACTGAGACCTCCCTATCCCCAAAAGCCCCACTGAGGAGAGCGGGGTCAACTCTGACACTTTGTGTTTCCATCTCAAAAGCTTCACTTGGTTCAGCTCATGCTCTGGCTTTCGGGGATGGGGAAAGGGCTCAGGCTGGCTTTACCTCTGGGTTTGACCCCACTCACAGCCTGGGCACATGAAGCGTCCAAGGGATTGCAAAGCCTCTCTGCAGGAGGGGGAAATGCTGAAGCAGCGAGAAGGTGCTTATGCTTAACCTTTAGTGGTCTGTGAGCCCTGCCCACCACTCCCAAGCTCAGCTCTTGCTGATGTGACCTTTTCTATTTTCTGCTTCCACAGAAGAGTCTGAAGGGGGCCCTGTCCCCGCCCCAGCACAAGGCTGAGCCTGCCCTTGCCTGGTGAGAGAAACCACCCCTAAGAAGGGACAAGCCCTGTTGGGGTGATGAGCAGCTGCTGCCACCCTGGCACCCCGGTAGTTGACACTGGGAAAAGGATTCCCATGTTCAGGATAGGGTGTTGTCCTGGGGACATTAGGGTGCTGAGGGGGCACAGCCATCCTGGCATGTGCTGAGCTTCCCAATGCTCTGCCCAGTGTAGCAGCAGAACCCAGCTGGGCCTCACCATCACTCCCCACTGCCCTCACCCCATGGAAAACCCCACACACTGCCCTGACAACACACAAACACCAACCTCTTACCTTCAGCTCTTTCGATTCTGCTTTTTAAGGGGTAAAGGCAGTTGTAGGCACACACGCAGTGTTATTTTCAGCCCGTGGCAGGCAGTGTGGGTGGAGGTACAAAGCAGATAGGCACCATGTCCGGGCAGGCACAACAGCCCAGTGTTTGTCTCCAGCTGACCAGGCTCACTAGGGACTCTCACCAAAACTTAGTTGGCAAGTCTGCCTCCACCTCCTCTGTAACCAGCCCATTCAGTGACCCTGCGGGATGCGTGGAGGTGAGAAAATCCTGGCAGCACCCAGGAAGCCTCAGCACAGACCTGGAGGCACTGTCAGACCTCAGCTCCCCCTCACCCACACCGTGCTGGAGGCTGACTGCAGGACACAGGGATTTCCACTCCTGCAAGGGCTGGGATCAGCCTAGAGGGTGCCCAAGGGGTCCTACTGCATTAATCCATCCTTACAAGGCTGCAAAAACCTCCTTCAACCAAGGGCAGGGGCAGAGGTTGGCCCAAGGTGAAGAGAAGGGCTGTGCCAGGCAGCGAGGAGAGCTCTGCGCTAAGAACCGGGTGGACAGAGCCAGCCCAGCAAGTGCCAGTGGGACCCGGGCCAGCGTCCAGGTTGCCAGCACAGGCACCTCCAGCCATGCAGGTGAGGAGCCAGCCCAGCTCCACCAGTGGTGTTTTAGGCAGGGGACACCAACCTCTTTGAGGCAGGAGGCTCAGTGTTTAGGTGAGCAGGAAGACAGGTTAGCCTCTACTTGAAGATGCACCAAGAAACCACTATGGTGGTGGGATTACTGGCGGAGCAGTGGCCTCAGCCAACTGAGCCCCCAGTGCCACACCAACAACGCTTCCAGATCTGGTCTCCCCCAGGAATGAAGATCTACAGAAACACCAAGCTGGACTCCCCCTCAAACCATCCCATGCAGCCCCTCTGAGCAACACCAAACCACCAGCACTGCTCTAGCACCAGAGACCTTCCCACCCCCCAGGGCAAGCCAGGATACAACCCGAACCTTTGCCAGGGAAGAAGCCACAAGTCATAAGTAGGTTATTACATTTTTTATTTTATAATAAACTTCTCATTTTTCCCCCAAGGAAGACAAAAAACTGTGAGTGAGGCTACAGAACACTGTCAGTGAAGAGTATGTGAGACAGACCCAGGCCACGGGCCAGGCCAGAAAGGATCCCCACTCCCCCAGGAAGAAGGGGTCCATGCCCAGGAGCCTCCATAGCCCTTGCTCATCCCCCCACTGCATTTGAGCAAGATCAGTGCTGTCAAGAGGAGTCAGCTGAGCAGCAGAGATGGGGTTGGGTCAGGCTACTGAGGGACTGAGAGGGCCACGCTTTGTTCCCCCCACTGGCCAAAGCTGCCAGCAAGGTGGGACAGTGGGTTAAGTGATGCAGCTGTTTTCTATACATGTACATGATGTAAATAATAAAAAAAAAATTATTTGATTCAAAGCAAAAAAATCAAATGGTAGCTCTTCCTGTCAGGCCATCTTGCTCTAGGAAGACTTCACACATTCCTTCTCCTGTTCAATAGCTGCAAGAGAAGAAAGTCCATTAGTCTCCGGTGCTTTTTTGTGGAAACACCCACTGGAGAAGGTTGCAGAGCAATCACTCAGGCCCTGGCGCCCAGTTTTATTGTTTGACCCCAAGTGGGGCAGGCAAATGCTTCAAGTCAGAGGGTGATGAGACACACACATGGGCGACAGCAAGTTGGGCACCTGCCTTCAACTCTCCTCAGGGAAGCCATGCCCTGAGACCCTGCCCGCGGCCCCAGAGGGCCGTACCACCACCGTTTTCTCCGGATCCGAGGCTAACTGCCCCAAACTGCCTGTCTTCATCGGATGCCTCAGCTGTGAGATCAGCACCCGAGGACACCCACTCCACTGACCGTGGCTGTGTGCCTCCCGCACAGCCAAACCCCGGGGCCCCACCCTGGTCCCCCCAGCCCCTCTGCCGCCTGCTGTACTCACTCTCCTTGGAGGGCAGCGTGTTCTTCTCCTCCGTGTTGGTTTTCTTCAGCTTCTTCTTGTCGAATTTCTCCACCTCCGAGAGGTCTGGCTTGTCGCACATTTTGCCTGCGAGACCTGGTGTGTCCCCCCCCCGTCCCCCAAACCCCGAGGTCAGCCGAGGTCCCCGGGAATGGGCAGACAAAGGCGCCCCCCCCCCCCCCCCCCCGGCCCCCGCCGCGGACAATAGCGCAGGGCGGGGCGCGCCGCCGCCCCAGGCACCGCGCCGCTCCCCGGCTCCGGGCAGCCCCTGGGGCGGCGGGAGGGGGGTGCGGGACACCCACCCCGGTGCCCGCATCCACCGGGGGAGACCTCCCCGCCCTCACCAGCCGAGCTGCCCCCCGGGACTCCCCGCACCCGCCCCGCCCCTGGGCGCCGCGGGGGAGCCCCTCATTGCACCAGCCCTGCGTGCAGAACCCCCCCCCCCCGGCACATCCCGCACCCGCCGGCAGCGCCCACCCCCGCGGCCGGGAGCGCCGTCCCCGCACCTGATGCCGCTGCCCCGTCCCGTCCCGCTGCGCTCCAGGTGAGGCTGGTGCTGGCGGCGTGGGGCGGCGCCTTATATACCCCGGCCGCCGCCCAGCCCGCGCGCCCATTGGCTGCCCGCCGCCCGCTGAGCCTGCTGGGAACTGTAGTCTGCCCGCTAGCAGCGGCGGCGGCGCGGGCCCCGGAAGAACTACTGCTCCCGAGGTGCCCCGCTGCGGGGCGGGGGGCCCGCCGCTGCGCGCCCGCGGGGGTGGCGAGGACCCGAGGGGCGCGGATGTGTCACCCGGTATTTGGCGGGGGGGGAGCGGGATACACGGACACCGTTCCCGCTGCCCCCACGGCCCTGCACACGCGCCCCTTTGCATGCCCACGGCCCCACGCAGCTCCACGCGCTCACAAACGCGCACCCGTCCGGGCACAAACACCGCAGCAGCACCCCCCCCCCCCCCCCAGCGCCCCTGGGTGCCAGTAGCGAGGGGGGCCCCGTGGGAGTGGGGGAACCTCCCCAGCAGCAGGTGCCCTGCAGCCCTGGGGGCAGCTGCACCCACCCCCGGCCACTCACCCCCACCCCCACCCCGCTGAAGCAGGACTTGCTTAAGAGAGCAAGACCTTGGGACAAAACCAGCACCGTGTTTTCACAGCTGCGTGAGATGCTTCGCGCTGCACCCAACCCACAGCCACACTCGCTCCAGCCGCAGCGCTTCCTGTGGAGATCCGGTCACTAAAGCAGTAGCGTGGGTGTACAAGGAGCAGATCACACACAGGTTGGGCTCTTGCTTGGCCCTAGCAAGGCAATAGGGTGCAGAAAGCACAGACCAGATATGCTGGGGTACATGTGGAAAAAAATATATTTGGGGTGGGGAGTTCAGGCAGCCTGCCTGTTCCCAGCTGGGCTGGGGAGCAGGGGGGTGGTGGTCCAGGGGGCACCTGCACGCTGGCCCCCGGGATGGGGAGTGGTTGGAGGCCTTGCAGCAGGGCCCTGGAGGTACTGAAGGGAATGAAGAAGGGGGGTGGGGTGGGGAAAAAGCATCCTGGCCCCAGTGGCCAGCTTGCCGAAACACTTTGCGAGAGACCCCGGTGCCACAGCAAGCGGGAACGTGCTGTAGAGTGCCAGGGGTTGGAGCTGCGCTGCAGCAACTCTCACACTCACCTCCTCCTGGTCTGCCAGATTCGGGGTTTCTCTTCAGATGTGTTGGAGATTTTGCAGACAAAATCCCCAGCAAACCAGCAGAAACAATTGTGTTTTAGCTAGAAGACTGCTGTCTTGGGAGGGAGGCTTGGTGTTCTCCAGCAACAGCAGGTCTTGATGGGAGGTAGCCCATTGCAGCAAGCCCTGAGGACACACACACCTTCCTGCTCCTGCCAGCAAGTAGGCTCAGAGTTAATTAAACGTCAATGGTTGGTGTCAAGATCTAAGGCCAGGTCCTAAGATGTAATTGCTACTCAGAGAAGCCTGGATGGCAAACAGGCTCCAGTCCCCATCTGCCAGTGGGAGAGAGGAGGCGGCTGCAGGGGAAGCCCCAGGCCAGCCTGCTCCCAGAGCAGCTTTGATTTGGTGCTGCAGCCCCCCAGCAGGGCCTAGTCTGGAGGGTGCCACAGAGCCAGGAAGAGTGAGCACAGTCAGAGCTGCCTTCAGGAGTATCCTTCAAACCCACCCTGCTGAGCCTGCAGCACAAAGCCCACCCCGAGCGGAGAAAAGGCTCATTTTTTTTCCTGAGCAGCCACAAGAAAACCAAAACCCCACCCAGTTTCAAAATGAAACCATGAAATCCTTTTTGCCTTTATGCAAATAGTCAGACAAGTGTTTTACCGCGTGTTTACTCTCCAGCTGTGTCTGCCTTCCCCCCAGCTTCTCCTCCTTTCCCTGACTGCTCTCCACACACTTCTCCTTTGCGGATGCTGCAGAGTCTGCTGTAGCTTTTGTCCTCAGCAGCCAGCGAGTGCAAAAGCACCTGGTCCCCGTCCTCCCCGTGCCCAGCCCCTCAGCAGCACTGGCTACACCCACCCCAGCCAAGGTGCAGTCCTTGGGCGATGTGTTGCATCTCCTCAACGCTGCAGCACTGTGTAAACCCCAGGGTCTTTGTCTGAGCACAAAGCCATCGCAGTGGCTGTGCAGGCAGGGGAAGGCGAGCTCCCGCTTCCCCAAGCCAGCAGTGGCCATGCAGGCACCGCCACGCTCTTACAAACCATGACCAGAGCAGCTTTAAAGCCAACCCTCTGCATTTCCAGCAGGCACGGCCTGGGGCTGCTGCTGGGGAGCTTTTAAAACCCATCTTGCACAAAGAACAAGAAGCAAGCTTATATCCCAGCAAGAGCTCTTTTTCCCCCCCCAACAAATTTGCAAAGCCTCCCATAACCACACAGCCTGCTTATTTCTCATATGTTTTTGTATTTCTGCTTTCAATAATTTATAACAAAAGAACTGAGACAGACAGATAGGGGGAAAGTGAAAACAGCCCTGACCTGAAATAGAAAAGAATGACTGCCAGCCATTTTAGATGAGTTTTAAATCTCCCACAGAACAAGGCTGTCAGGGCTCAAATACAGCCTTGCTGATGGCAATTTCCAGGAACATTTTATTCACTTCTACGGGAAGGAGGCAGGTTTTCTCCATCTGATCAGTTTTTTACATCCTCCTGCCTACAGGGACAGGCAGGGCACCACCACAGCCAGCTGGGACCTGAGCCCCCTTCAGCCACTGCTACCCATGAGCCAGTTCCTCTACTCCACAAGGCCACAGTTTACACTTTCCTGCCCATTTTTAACCCCAGCCACCTACCACAACCCTTTTTCTTCCAGTGCAAGAGCAGAGCACCCCAGGAAGGCAGCCAGCACACTGAAGCTGTTGCATCTTACACCAGGGCTCATTCCTCCAGATTTTGCTGCTCCTTGCAGTTTAGAGAAGGGCTATTAACCCTTGCTGTTTTCCCATTGCCAAACAGCATGAAGGCAAGATGCTGCCTTCTCCCTATCAGAAATACTGACTCTAAGAGATAAGAAATCACCTGTAGTAAGGCACCAAGAGAAGCAGCAGGAGGAAGCTGATGGTGAGAGCAATCTGAGATGTGTCTCTTGCTCCAAACAGATGTCCTGCTGCCTGCAAGACACAAATGGTAAGCCCAGCTTTCACACTGGCTTAACACATGCCAACCCTGCACATTAGCTTCAGCTACCCAGGCTGGTAAGCTGGGTTGACACAGGATTTTTTATTGATGTGTTCCCTTCTGCATCAGGCAGACATGAGATACCTACTGCCACCAGTGCCAGCACACCTGCAGCCATGCTCCAGCTGTCTGTGGCAGTGAGCTGCTGTAGCTGTCCTGCTCTTCCAGCTCACCAACTATAAAAGCACCGCAAATTACTCACTTGGGATTTTCTCCTGGGAAAGTAATGACTTGTATTTTATGGTCTTTCTTCAGCAGCTGTGAAGAGAGCCTAAGAAGACACCACACAATTCACCTCCAGAGCACCCTGCATGCTTTGTACTCACTCCAGCAGCTCTCCAGGACAGGCTGGAGAACCACATCCACTACAGCAGGTAGCTCAGGGTAGCACAACAGCATGGCTGATGCTGCTGGAGCAGAACTCATCTGGGCTAACGGATGAGCATCCCCCTATCACTCCCAAACTTGGGAGGACATTAGAGGAACTTGGCTTCCTGCCATTCACACCTCAGGTGCTGGTTTCTTCCCAGCCTACACTGCAGTGAAGGGACTCTTCCCACAGCTGCCTGGTACTACATCCATGGCTGTCTGGGACAGGGAGAAGTGCTTTAATTCTACTACATGCAGGTATTAAATGCAGCCACACTTACTCTAATAGCACAACAGTCACTTCCAGTCAGTCAGTCACAATCTGCCTACAAATAGGTTCAGTCATTACCACATCACATTCCCTGCTATTTGAAGAAAAAAAAAATTACACAGTTCACTTATTCATTGACCAGTACTGAAATGCATTTTAAACAGATGAATGACAGTACTGATCCTCAGCAAAAAATCTACCCGAGGCCATGGTTGTGTTTCCTCAAGCAATGCTTGATCTAGGCCTGGAAGTCTATTGTAAGGCCAAAGACCTTTCTCTAGACCTGCCATCTCATCCTTCTAACTTCTTTCTCAGTCTACATTATGCAACAGGAAACGATCATGGTTTAGTTAGAGCAAGTGCTTCTCAGGAGATAATCCTGCTTCCTATGATCATTAGCTTTGTGCAGGATACTTAGTAATTCACTCATGCTTGCTAAACTATTGAGGTTTTCCCCTACCTGAGTAGATCTGCTCAGATACATAATTGAACCATACAAGAGAAACTGCACTACCAGCTCTAACAATTAAGTCCTGGAAAAGAGATACAGACAAAAGCCACTACTCACCAAGAGAAGTAGCTTGGTGCCAAGCTTTTTCTTCCATGCAATGTGAGCCCAGCCAAGCTGAACCTTGGTCAGCCCTGCTGCAAGAGGGTTAAAACCACATGACCTTCCAAGGTCACTTCCAAATACCATTACTTCATGATCTACCTTGCAAGTGACTTAACTCCGAAGATGCACATCACCTTTGTAAGGTTTTTAGAAGCATTTATAGGCAGAGGCCATGGTTTTTAAATAAAAGTTTAATTCCTTCATCAGGTCTTAAGTTTAAACACAAATGCTGCTGAAAATCCTCACACCGCTGCTCCGATGTCCTGGCTCTTGGCTTTCAGGGCATTGGCAAGGCAGCAGCAGGGACGCCAATACAGGAGGCAGGAATCAGACTCTTGGTAGAGCTCAGTGCAGGATGCAAAGCAAAGAAGCAAGAGACACACACTTTCCAGACAAACACCAATTCTTATAAAAAAAGAAAAGAACTACACTGTAATAGAAGTGTTAACATTGCCACAGGACAGGAGTTCTAGGAAGGGAGAGAAGTCTTCAGTAAAAGGCACAACTAAAGAAGTACTTCCCTAGGTCTTAATCAAGTCTTGCAAGTAATTTTGCTTATACCCCAGCCCCTAGCCTCTCAAAGACATGCTGGTTACTCTAGTAAGTAATTTCAAGTTCCTTCTTTTCCCCTTTTCCTTTCCTCCAGCTCAAAACACAAATAAAAGAGGAGTGCTTATAAAAACCAG